GTAAAAAGAAAAGACAGGTGCCTTTGTCTGTGGAATAGTGTGCAATAAGAATATTATATGATTGAAAATGAATAGCACTACAGAAACATATTGCAATTGTATTTAACACTGACAATGAAAAGTAAATGTAGCTAAATAAAATATTCCTTTATTTTTGCAGACATGTTATATATGTATGTATATATGGCAAGTGAATATATTATGTATATGATGGCAAAATCCCTTTTTTAAATGGCAATAATGGATCATGAAATATGAATCTTACAGTCTGATCTACGCTGTGTCTGTGGTAATACTGGTAAAACATCCCAAATAAAATTCTGAAATATATTTATGTTGCTTCAATGACAGCGACTACAACTGAAATAACATTTTAGACTGAAAATGACTGAAACTTTAGTAACTAACCAATATGCAAATATTATAGCAAAAATTGACTGTTAACCATAAAGTCTATACAATTGCCAATTTGCTGTTTCTTCTACGTTGTTCCATCAAAATAAGAAGGCTTCAGGAATCTATGATGGATATTTTACACTATACTACGATTATAAAAACAATTGTCATTGACCACAAACCGTCATCCACTGGGCTCAGGCCACCTCTTTGCTTTTACACTAGCGCCATCTAGTGTTGTTGTCACGGTCACGCATTTTAAATAAAGACTACTTGAGAATCTTTTAGTCATTAGCAATAAAACTCTATAAAAACTGTGTTAAATGCATATTTCCTGATTAAAACCTAATTTCTTTTTTTCTTTTTTAAAGATGAATGATTTGCAAATCATCAAAGCCTTTCATTTAAAATTGTACAAAAACAAACTGTAATTTTCTACAAGTATGTGTAAAGCTAATGTACATTAAACTAAGTAGATTAACTTACAAAGGTTCAGTAACTTGGTCTGATATAAACGGAGCATTTCAAATCTTCCTCCCTGCTTAGTAAAAGAGAACTGTGGGCAGATAGTTACTTAAGAATACTGTTGCTCAACGCAAAGTTAAAAGAGTTTGAGGATTTCAGTACCAACATTTTTTGTGTGTGTGTAAATGGTAGAGATTGCATCCTCAGTACTAAAAAGAAGAGGAATCATATAATTCTAAATAGGTTTTTTATTTTTTTGTTTTATTTATGATTTTTTTTTTATTTCATTAAGATACTGCCAAAACACATTCCTTATGTATTACAGCAACATGGCTTTTTAACAAATGGGCGCAGGTTCTACTCTGGCCTGCCTGCAGTCCAGAACTGTCACCCACTGGAAATATTTGGCCTACTATTACCTGACAAAGCATCCATGAGCTAAAATCTAAGATCAAGTTATCAAACTACAGCATTGGTCTTCTCAGTTCCCAAAAGCTTGTAGAGTGCTGTTAAAAGAAAACCACGATGCCACATATGGGAAGCATGCTCCTGTTCTCACATTTAAAATAAAAAATCTTGATATTCAACTATATACACTATATATAGATTACAATATATAGGGGTAAAGATTTACATACCTCGTCCATCTCCTATACCATTTTTGGTTACACTATATATATTGTAATCTAAATGCATATTTTTTAAAATGGTTTTTAATGGTCTTTTACGTTTTTTTTTGTCACTTTCAACATTTCATATGTTATTTTTGTTCTTCAAAAATAAAACATTACAAATAAACACGTTACAAATACATATTTATGTTTAATAGTTGATGTTCTTATTGAACATGAACAAAGTTTCAAATAATGAAGTCACTGTATGTATAAGTAATCCCTGTGGGTCAAAAATGGCTTCTGATACTTCAGACAGATTCTTTGCTCTAGCTCTGTACGTTGTCACTGAGAAGGGATATCCCCAATATGGTCATCACAGGCATACAGCTCTGGTTGTGAGCTTATAAGTCCTGCCCACCTGCTGTTTGTGAAGTGACTTTGACTTATAAAGCTATTCTCAAGCATAATAGTTCACATGTAGCTGTGTTTAAAGGCCTTGGTTAAAGAGAGTGAACATGTGGAGACAGCGTGAATTACATTTACACTAATAACATACAGTATTTCAAAACAATAGTATTAACAATAATACTGATTTTATTAATATAGTAATGAAGGTGAAGGTGGTGATAATGACAATGATATTGGTGGATTTACCAACAAGCGCAGTTCCTGTAATGGCCATATGAGGGTTGTCTCTAAAAGTCAATGAAACTCTAGTATTTTATCAGTCTTAGCTTTAACTGTCTGCATTACACCATGCAGTTTTCGGGTACATTTTAATAAGGAAGATTGCTAGCTTAATACCTTAAATTTAATTCCGTCAATTCAGGCCACACAAATCAAATCTAAACTATTACGTACCAGTCTTTTACGTGCAGTCTATAACCTCTGTATGTTGCTAAAATCATAAAGAAATGTAATTTTGGTTTGTGGCCTATGAACTCGGAATGAGTTTGACACTCCTGCCTCGTTGGATCGCACACTATTGGTTCATTTTCCTATCGAAAGCAATATTTCTGACAGCACCTGAAGGCGGCACTAGGCCTGTATTCTCTCTACTTCCTGTAAGGGAAGCTCAGTCAGCTGTCACAATTTGAGGCGAGAAGAGAGGGACCACAGCGGAGGAGAAACACACAACAGCAGCTAAAATGTCTAGTTTTTCCAACAAGTTGAGCGGGTACACGTTGGTTCAGCTCAACGAAATTCTTGAGGACGACGAGAAGCTCACAAAAATGGTACAGGAGATGGACGAGGTATGTAAATCTTTTGTAGTCCAGTGTTAGCTACTGACTCCCCTTTCTCGGCCACTGTGTCTGTTTTTTTTCCCTCAAGCCTTTGTTGTGCTTTTCCAACACTCGCTGGGTTCAGTTACTGGAAATGGCTGTTTCTGGTCGCGGTGTGGATTTAATGTTGAACGTGTGTTGTCAAGCGAACTTACACGTCTCGTAGCCCAAAACAGGGTTAACAACGGGCCGGAGCATTGTCTTAAGTTTTAACGCTACGGAGTTCCAAGGTTTCGACATAGCTTCTCCACAAACCTTTCGTTTCCCAGATAACAAAGCCTGTCAATCTGTTGTAGTAATCACATACAAGAGTACGACTTAATAGTTACATTTTGGCTCATATATTGACTGCCTGGCTCTGCTCCAGCAGCACAAGGACTCAGCAGTTTCTTTTCACGGTGTCATAAGTCTGTCTTTCTGATAAGCCCCACTTTCCCCCCCCATACGCACAACGATTACAGCCATGCTGCCCAGAATGGTTAAAGCGCAGACAGATATTTGGCATATTAAGACGAAAGGCTAAAAGATTAGCATTTTATACAGGATTTGCCCTTTTGATTATTTCCCCTGCGGCTGCTGCTTCTCTTTCTAAAACCGTCTCTTCCACTGAGGGTTTTAATCTTCCCTTATGTTCTCCTGCTGAATCAGCCCCGCCACCAGGGGCGTTTCCAGGATATTTCAATAGGGGAGCATTGGGGGAAAAATGACCCCAAAACAAGACTCCCCCACCACCACTCCCTCTCCAGGAAGGATGGATAATCAGATTAAAATTTTAAAAAGCGTAGAAAGCAAGTCTAGGTAACATAATTTACGGTTTCTTATGTAAAAGCCACAATCCTACGTAATCCTTAAGTAATGCAAACAAATTTAGCATTAAATATACTTAAAATAGTTAAAGTCAAATTGGTCACCCTTCTTATCCATATACATTTTATTACAAGATCATAATTACTTATTAATTATTGTTAATATGAGTTTAATTTTGGCACTGAATATAATTTTAATTGTACTCAGTGTGAATACTCCTGAGTAGCCAATACAGTGTATTATATAAGTAGATTAACTGTACCCCTGCCCACCACAGCCGTGCTGCTGGAACGTTTTCCCTACCAAGTGCTAAATCCAGAGAAAACACTTCACACCTCTGCTTTTCACCCAACAGCTTGGACCTGACTGTTTATCACAAACATTAAATGCACATTGTCAGGACTTGGGAATTTCTTGTCTGTTGTCATGACGCTGAGGTGTTGTCTAATTTTAGCTTAGTTTTTTTGCGCAATAGTGACTCGCTGCCTGAGAGGTGATGAAAAGCCTCTATTCACAGAGCTGAGAAACTCGAGCACAAGCTTCCGTATATCAACATAATGACAGTTTCAGCTCGACTACAAGACGTAAGACTACAGGCCTTTGGCATTTGGATGAATGCTGAGCTGTGAGTTGGTCTTTTGTGTTGTCGCTCCTGTTTTTCATCCACACCCTGTCTGATTGTCTCTATGGTTTCGTTTTCCCAAATCCCATAGGTTACAGAGAGGGAGGAACAGGAATGACACTGCAGCTGTTGACTTGTGTTAGTCATAAGATTGCAGGAGATATTTAAGAGAATGGGACACTTAAAAACATGTCTGAACCACACTTGAAACTGTCTGGGAAGTTTTTTGCTCACAGTACAGTGGATAAGAACAAAGGCAGTAGGTGTCATAAGGCACTGAATGAAACATGAGAGTACTGAGAGGCACTACGCTTTTCTGTAAGCAACAATCTTCTTGTTCTGTAAAAAACACACTGGCTGTGTTGGCATTTGAATAATGCAAATAGCCCTTTTGTGAATTTGTTTAGTTTCAGTGCGTCCTGTTTTTGAACGACTAAGAATTGCAGATACGCTTCACTAGGCTGCTAGGATGTTGATTACACAGTTTTATTTGTCAGTGATAATTCTCACTGATGTTTCAGCATATTTAGACTTTCTATTATGCTGTCCATTGTGTAAACCAGGAAGTATCACTTCAAGGTCTGTGTGGTTGTGGGTGTA